CCCCAAAACCCCAAAACCCCAAAACCCCAAAACCCCTTACTTGGCATAAATATTGAAAAATGAATTACAATATTTTATTCATAAGTACCCTTTGCTTAACAAGATTCGCCATTTTGAGAAAAGAGTCATCATTGCTGGATTGACTCCTTTTTGGCCTCCTTCTTTTAAATCGAGACCTGGTTGATCTTACAGAGTGCAAACTTGATGAAGATACAGATTTCTGGGATTTGAAAGTTCCTATTCTACGTAATGATCTAGTATTCGATCCTTTTCGGGAAGGTCTTTTACTTGCCCGACTTCCTGCTCTGCTTTCACCAGCGAAGCTACGAGTATCGCTATATGCTTCACCAAGTCTTTTGACTAGACTTCCATGAGAAGCATTACTTTTTGGTCTTCTATACTTCTTCTCCTTAGGTTTATATTCCCTGTATCTGTCAATAAGATGCTCCATGTAAGGAGAGTCACCATCAAATCTTATGATAGATTTAGATCTGCAAGCTTTCCTCCTGATAAATTTCTTTCTCTTAGTAGATCTGAACTTATCCCTGATTTTTCTGCTCTCAAGAGCAAAGTCATGGTGGCTTACTGCTTTCTTTTTATCACTGCTTCCTCTTTTCAATTTCTTCCTGATCTCTGAGAAACCTCTACTTGAAGAGCTTCTTCTAGTGTGGACTCGTTCTTCCCCGCCAAAGTGGGTTGAAGTTCTCAAGAAATTATCCTCTCTGATGTTTCTCCCTCTACGAGCCTCAGCATTGGCAATTTGTTGGTTTAATAATGTCTCCCTAGACTTTAAGTCCCTAGAACTTTCAGACAATTTCCTTGTAGGCTTCTTCTTCCTCGTCAAAGTCGTTGGTTGTTTCTCAAGCTCCTTTTTTTTGGCCCAGCTAGTTCCTGTCTTCGATCCAACCTTCATCCCTACATTCTTAGTAGATGTATTTCCAGGAGGAGAAAATATATCAGAGAGTTTTCGAGTTACATCTCTGTGGAGTACAACAGGAATATGTCTGTTAAAACTCATCCTTGTCGTATTCATCCTACTTTGTGTGGAGATTCCCCCCTATAGTCTTAGAATGATGTCTTACCTTTGCCCTGTCCTTAGGGTTATCATAGATCTCTTCTAATCGCTTAATTTTTGGGTTAAATTTAGGTTTCTTCTTCTTTCTTCTCCTCCTTTTTCTCTTTTTCTTCTGGTCATCAAAACCGAGGAAAGTCTCATCCTCAAATTCTGAGGAAGATTCTTCATATCTGTTGTTATTTTTAGTAGCTTTTCCTTCTTTCTCTTCTTCAATTAACTGTGTGATTGCTGCTCCGGCCATAACATCATTTGCAAGAGCATTGAAGTCAGTATCTTTTTCGATGGATTCTAGTTCTTGAGCCTTATCGTAATTGTCAATCTCAAATCCAGTCTTGTCGCATTGCCCTTCTTTTGAATTTTTTATATCATCATTACTATTTTCACCTAACTTTCCCCTCTTTTTATCAAGTTTTCCTCTTTTTTCATCATCAAAGTCTTCAAAGAGTTGTGAGTTTTCTTCCTTGATGCCATCAAGAGTACCTTGATCGCCTTTTCCAGAGGCAAAAACTGTATTTCCAACAGCTCTTCCTTCTATAACTCCTCCATTAAGACAACCTTTAAGGTTCGCTGCTGCTTCCATCGTCCCTTGAGACTCAAGATCATGGTTGGAACTTTCAAAGCTTTCTTCAAAATCCTCTTCAGCAATAGGTTCGACACTAAAAACTCCTCCTTTTCTAAAGATCTTGACTACATTATCTGCTTTATCAGGCTCATAAGCTTGATATATACTCTCGAGCAGTTTTATATTATACCTAGCGATTTTGGCAGCTTCACTTTTGCTCTGCCTCTTCTTCTCTCTATGTGGGACAGTACTGGCTTTCTCTAAGTGAGCTTCTTGCTTGAGGTGGTCGATCATCTGGGTTTCTTGCTGCTTGGTCTCGATCTTGGATTCTTCACTGGAGGAGAGGGATTTGGGGCCTGAGTGATCGGAGATGAGCGAGGGGTTGCGTTGGTCTTGTTGGAGATTGGGTGGTTGGCTTTGGAGGGAGTTTTGAGAGTGGCTATGGAGAAGAGGTTTAAGGGGTGGAGGTGTAAGGGTTGGGAGAGAAAAAGTGAACTTTTGGCACATTAAAAGGGTGGTACGAAAATTTTGAGTGTTGTAAAGGTAGTTGTTTTAGCAGGGTAATGTAGTTTTATTTATTATGAGATTTAAGAAAATTCACATAGAGAAGACAAATATTTGATAAAATTCAATTTTTTCTTCTTCTAATTACCCCTAACTCACCCTGTTTATTTACTTTAACACCATTCCACATCACACACCTCTAATCTCGCCTCAAACACATATAAAACCCTCACTAAAAAATCTTTCTTTTCTTCTTACCTATCTTCTCCCTCCAATTTCTCTCCTCTATCATCCCTCAGCCCCAATTCTTCTTTCACCTCATCAATTTCTCTCATCATAATTTCTTTAGACTTGACCTTCCTCTTGACCATGATCAAAAGACTAATAACTCCACAGCTAATCGGCCTGACTACTACTACTTCTCACACAACAGAGATCACTACCATGACTAAGCAGGACAGGATCACTGACTGGGAGTATTTGTGGTATGTATAAATTCAGCAGAAGAAAGTTATGAATGCAAGTACCCCCAGAAGCGAGACAAAAATCGTAGTGTTGAAGAGAGTATTGGGCTGGACGGATTCAGAGGTGAGGACTTCAGTGTCTCCTAGGTAAGGAAGAGAGTGGGGAGAGAGGGAAATTGGAGGATTTTGGGTGCGATTTGAGGCTTCTGGGTGGATTTTGTGGGGGTGAGGGGAGGTTAAGGGCCTTGAATTGAGGGAATTGGTGGATCTGAAGGTGTCTAGTTTAGCGGAAGAGGGTTTGTTTTGGAGGTCGAGGTTGTTGAATGGGGTATTTGTTTCGAGGTTTTCGGTATCTTTGTACTCGTTTGAGAGGATAGGAGTGATTTCGGATTTTTGAGTATCGGTATTGTATTTTTGCTTGAGGCTTATTTTGGGCTTTTTCTCAGAAAATGCATCTTCAATATTTCGCATATAAAGATTATGAAGAATTTTGGTAATCACCATGATGCAAATATGACCAAAAAGGGTAGATAGAATCACTCCAATAAGAAAAGTTGAAAAAGAAATTCCTTGATTTGCTTTTTCATATTTCACCAACACAGCAATGATTAAATTTACAATTAACCAAATGCATACTATCCCAGTGATATTAATAAAGTGGTAAAACCTACTTAAAGGCTTAAGGAGGTTAAAATTTTTAGCATGCTCTTCACCTCCATCTTCCTTATTCTCTTCCTTCTTTCTACATTTCTTACAACATTTGGTGAGCTCCAAATAGACCCAGATGGCATAATGATAATATTTATCGCATGTGATCCAGTATACAGTTTTAAATCTCAGACTGTTCATCTTGACCACTATTTTGATCATTTCATTCAACACGAATTGTTTGAATTCCGTGGTTGTTACATCTTTGACCATGACTGTGTCGTTATTTTTCAGGCTCTTTTTCTTATTCCTGATATCTGCTCGCCTCTGGATCACCTATGGAGGTATAAGCTACCATTGTTAGCCAGGTGAATGACACAAGCAGAGTTCACACTGAATTATTTCAAGACAAATTGGGAATTTTCCAGTTTTTAGTTGGTTAAATAGGGAAATTCATAATTTGAGAAATTTATGAAAAATTTATAAAGTTTAGTTTGGATACAAACTTACTCTGATCTTATAAGTCTGTGTACGCCAATGTCTCAGGTTAAGCACCAAGAACACCACGAAGGCGATGAGGATAGCTAAAGCAAGAAGGATCGTTAGGATCCCCACAAAAGATTTATTAGTAACATCGTTTCCATCTCCCATTTTATTTTGCAATATTTATGAAATATCAATGCTATATTTTTTATAAGGGGTTTTGGGGTTTTGGGGTTTTGGGGTTTTGGGG